AAAAAAAAAAAAAAAAAGAAATTGCTGGGTCATATAGCAACTGTTCAACTTTTTGAGGAACTGCCAACTTGTCTGCCCCAGGGCTTTTGCACCTTGATTCCTTCCCTTCTTCCTACCCCGACACTCTGCCAAGTAAGTCCTACTTAGGGTGAATCAGCTTATTACCCTCTCACAGAATTATATTTCATACTGATACAATATTCATCTCTATAATTTTATATTAGTGAGGTTATGTCTTTTTCCCCCACTCAAGTGTGCAGGCAGAGACTTCGTCTAATCCACCATGACTGCATCTCCAGAGCTAGGCCTGGCCACACAGTGGCTGCCTCAATAAATATGTTAAATGAATGAATGAGGAAAAGAGGAATGACAGCTTAACTGAAATTTAAAGCAAGTGCTGCAGGTTTAGCAGTCATATCTGCCGTGGCCTGCACCATCCTGGGGAAACTGAGCACAGGCACACGAGATTTGTATACTGCAAGCAAAACAGATACAGGGAAAGGCAATCTGGGACTTGGGAGACGACAGCCAGCTCAGAGTTCCTGCCCCAGGGCCTGTACCACAGGCTCAGCAGAGGTAGAGGGGACAAAGAGCAGGCCCATGGGACAGGTGGTTGGACAAGGCCACTGGGACTGCCCGTGGGGAAAGCACTCTTGGGTTTGGACCACAGGAAGCTAGGAAAGGGAGGGACAGAGGGGAGGTTCAGAGGCCAGGAGAGCAGCTGCTGGCAGCAGGAGCTGGCTGGGGTCTTCCTCTCACCTCTGCCGGTCCTGGGTTGAAGTCAACCTGCAGCTGGGAAGGAAGGTAGGCCCACAGGGAAAGAACTGAAGGGCCAGCCACTCCTCCGCTAGTCAGCTAGTCAACAGTCCAGACACGATCTACCTGGTCTTTGGCAGGAAGGAAAGGAAGATGGGCAGCCTGCACCTATGCCCCAAAGGCGTCCGGGACCACAGCCTTCCAGTTACCCAGGGAACTCAAATGATCTCAAAACTTGAAGACTTGACAGGATAAAGGCTTCCTTAGCCCCCAAGTCAGCTCTTTGCTCCTCTGATACATAAGAGTATGCCCGTATTTCGTTTTTCTAGGTAGCAGAGTACCTTATGTTTGCTTAAAAAATTTAATTTCTGAGTGTGTTTTCCAGAATTCAGCTATTGCACATAGTTAGGTTAAGGTCATGCTCCTTTAGGGCCAGGACGGTGTTTACCTGTCTAGCAACTAATTGCACAGCTCCAGGGAAGTGAGAGGCAACTAAGATGAACTAAGCATTTCTCCCAGTTTACAGATAAGAGAACTGAAGCACGGAGAGGTAAAGTGACCTGCCCAAGACCACACCCGCCATCTAGCCAACAGAGCTGGGACCAGAAACCAAGCAGTGTGACTTTAGGGGTCCACTCCTAACCACTGTACTGTCTCAGAAAAAAGAAGGGAGAAGGGGAGAAGGAAAAAAAGTGGAGGAAGTGGATAACTGGACCCCAGTTTTCAGGAATTCAAAGTGATCTTTATCCGATGCACAAAGTCACTGCAAACAATATCTAAAGCTGTGGTCTGGGTGGACAGAAGAAATGTATTAAGGAGAAAGCAAACCTAGTCAAGACCTGCTCACGCAAGCCCAGTGGTCAACAGGCCCCTGGCAGTTGAGAGGAAGAGCCACGAAATGAAATGGTCTTTTCTGGGCCACTTAACCTCACAGGGCAGTGGGACAGTTGGGGGCCTCGGGGTTCTTACCAAGTGCCTGCTGTGCCAGGTGCCAGCTACATGCCTCACATTTAAATCCCTGTCTTATAATCAAAAGTAGAAAATTAAGTTTGGGCCTAAAGCAAGGGTCACAATCTGGCATGCATGGGCAGAATGTTTCTGGATTGGCAGAATTTGCCATCTGGGAAATTTCATATAAAAATTCACACTTCCTAAGGTCAGCCCGTGGCTCATTTGGGAGAGCGTGATGCCCAAGTGACACCACCAAGTCAAGGGTTAGGATCCCCTTACCGGTCTTTTAAAAAAATAAAATAAAATAAAAAATTCACACTTCCTACTTCAAGACTGGAAGCTCATGCAACCCTGATCCTGTGATTCTGAATATTAACCAGTCAAGTGGCCAGTGTCTGGCCACAAGAGACCAAGAATGTCTCTCGCCCAAGGCCCCTACCACTCCCTATTCTTGCCTTGCCACTGAAGCCAAGCGTCGCTTGTCATCTTAGACTGACCTCCCTTCCCACACTCATCTGTAGCCCCTGCTCCAGAAGCACGAGGAATGTAACT